TCGAGGGAGCACCTATGGTAAAATCACCGAGCCGGAGGACCTGTCCTGGAGTTAAGGCCCCTCCAGAAGCAATATCGTCATTAATGATAAGGCAAGCCATCGATCCTTTTGTCGACAAAACAAAGGAACTCTCAATGAAAGCACCAATGTCGGTGTCAAAACCGGCCGACCTTGGGTAGGGAGTCCCGAACTGTGCGTTTGAGGATTAGAGGTAACAGGAGACAAAGGGGACATGATGTTTTACCCAGGTTCGAGCCCTCTTAATGGAGGTAAAACCCTACTTCCTGCTTGATTGTCTTTGATGAATATAGGGGTTACAAGAGTTGATCTACCTCAAGATCGTAATGGCTAAACCCTAGATGTCTAGCCTACATGAATACTAATGATCCCTATGGACTAGCCCCTCCGGTTTATATATACACCAGAGGGGTACAGAGGCGGTTTGCAAGGGAAGGAAATAATACATCCGGTCTCCAATCTTGCCCTCCACGCATCCAGGAGTCCTATCTGAACATGGGGAATAATCTTCTGTTCTATCTTCATGGCTCATCAACCCGGCCCATGCTTGAATAGGCCGGACACCTGAGGACCCCCGAATCCAACTCCCCAACTCTCCTATATGGTGTCCCTTAGAAAACTTTAAAATATAAAAGAGGCGTGAGGCAAGGAGATCCTCTCTCCTTCCCGCTCTTCGTCATTGCTTTTCCTTCAGACCTTGATTAATGATGCTATGGTTGTTGGTCACTTGGAAACAACCTATTTCTATAATCTCTTACCCTCCGGCAGAGTATCGAAAAAGGCCCGAAGATGGGATCTCACAAGGACAGAAGCTTGCGCCGGTGGAAAAGTTTTTTGGGTGTGCCCTCTGGTCTTCAGGGAATATTTGGGTATTTGTAGAGCAGAGATTAGGGTTAGAAGAGCCATAGGGGGCCCACAAAGCTCATAGGGCGCCCCCTAGGGCATGCCTGGTGAGCTCGTGGTTCACCGTGGGCCGCCTTCTGGCCTCCTCCTGAAGCTTCATGGGTGTCTTCTTGTCCAAGAAAAATCGTCAAAAAGTTTCGGTCCATTTGGACTCCGTTTGGTATTGATTTTCTGTAAAAGACAAAAACAAGGAAAAACAACAAGTCGCACTGGACACTAGGTTAATAGGCTAGTCCTAGAAAATGATATAAAATAACATAATAATGCATATAAAACATCCAAAATGGATAATATAATAGCATGTAACAATAAAAAATTATAGATACATTGGAGACGTATTAGAGTCTCTGTGTAGCTATTTTATAGTATTGTTGATTAACAATCAATGTTTTTTTAGATTTATGCATTTTATAGGTGTAATCAATTGATAATTGGTGATAGGAGATGTCTACATGCCGGGCACATTGGGCAACCTTTAGATAATGCTCACCTTTAGGGAAAGATTACTTAGGAATTTTGTCTGGCTTCAATATTGTTTGGTTGAATGTGTGGAATAGTGATACAATTATGGACAATAGTTTTGGAACACCAATTTTCTCACTCATAGTGACAAAATTTGGATGGTTAATCCTTTTATTTTAGTACAACAATGGAACTCAAGATTTTAATGTGCTTGGTGAGAATTATTTTGTTAAAATGTGTAACACATCAATGACTAGTAACATTACTGCACTCAATATCTTTGGGTGTGTGTACAATGCCTTTCCACTGGATGTTTTATTGTGATGAAGTGCAGTAATGATCAAAGATATTATTTGTACCATATAGCTCCGCAGCAACGCACGGAGTATCATCTAGTTTTATAAATTTATGAACACAAGCCTTTCGGTAGCAAGAAAAATGGCATAGAATACATTGGAATAACGTGAGCTACCAATTTGATAAGGATCTCCTTCCCTGCTGCCGCCATACAATTCCCAATCCATCATTAACTTTCAATAAACAACCTATCCTTAAGATATTTGAAGTTATCATGTTGGCCCTCCCCACATTGGATAGCAAACCAAGGTACTGTTCGGTCAAAATTTCATTGGGAACCGTCAAAATAGTTTTAACAATGTTCATAATAGACTTTACACACCCTTGCAAAAGGGTATTGAGAATTTCTGCAAATTAACCTTCTGACGGGGTGCATCACAATATTCCTTGATAGTGACGAAAAATAGAAGCCCTTGCATGTACGCATTTCGTAGTTAGCTTTAAACATTAGCAAGCTATTCTTTTTTAGGAAGACCATCATGGTAAGCTTTTTCATTTTAGATCATCATGGTTAGGAGTATTGATGATCATCTCTTTCTCTCTTCTCGTTTTCCTTCCCCCTAACCCTAGGAGGTTAGGGCAAACTCTTCTGTCCAAGCTTCATCGGCAAGCCCGTGGATTCGCCTCCTCTCTGCATGCCGCTCCGATGGCCGTTAGCGGGTAGGGGAATCCCGACTCCTCCATTCCGGTTAGTAGTTTAGGTTAGGGTTTTTTAGTCCTCGCAGATATGGTGCTCAGGCGGATGGCGACGCTACTTCTTCGAGTTTGTCCTCCGGGCTCCGATCTTCCTCGAGTTCATCTTTCTCGACGTAGTCAAGGGAGCTCCGGAGTAGATTATTGTTGTTTCTTTGGGGCAGTGAGGTTAGGGTTTCTTGTCTTGGGCAAGATTTGGTGTCGGCTGTGAGGCAGTGGTGAGTCCAATAGCTAGGCTTAAACAGGAGTCCAGTAGCTGTCAGGCAGTGTCATATGTAGTCTATATTGGAATCCCAATGGTCTTATATTTAGGAACGGAGTGAGTACATGTTTCTAGTAGCATTCTTGGAAAGTTTGAGCACATTTGAACAAATGGACTAGGAAATTATGGCTATTTAGCTAAGAAGATTGAAAATTTGGTTCAAAAATTTCAGTAAGTACCGCTCGCTCCGTTCCTAAATATAAGCCTTTTTAAAGATTCCAATATATATTATACATGCAGAGCAAAACGAGTGAATATACGCTCTAAAATATATCTATACACATCCGTATGTAATTCTCCTTGACATATCTAAAAAGTCTTATATTTAGGACCGTTCCTAAATATAGGACCTTTTAGAGATTCCAATATGAACTACATACAGATGTATATAGATATATTGCACGTAGAGTGTAGATTTACTCATTTTACTTCGTACGTAGTCCGTATTGAAATCCCTGAAAGGTCTTATATTTAGAAACGGATGGAGTACATGTTTCTATTAGTATTCTCGGAAAGTTTGAGCACATTTGGACAAATGGACTAGGAAATTATGTCTATTTAGCTAAGAATATTCAAAATTTGGTTCAATTTTTTTTAAATAGAAACATTCCAGTAAATACTACATTTTCCCGGTAGTAGCCTGGGAAAATCTCAGCTTATTTGAAGAAAGGAAATACGAGATGGAGTTTTTTTTTCTTCAAACAAACCCTTTTTTGCATTAACATTTTTCTAAAAAAGTATCGTGCTAACTTGGAGTCCACCCGCCATTTTCATGCTGGATTCATCATTGGTGTCAGGTGCTTCAGATCTATGCAAGGATTCAACGACGACGACTGTGGCTCCAGCGCACTATTCCTTATATAGGGGCACATGCACAAAGACTTTACGGCTGTCATCGACAAGGTCAGGCCGGCTCTGACAGGGCCGTAGGGGAGCGCTGACAGCGGCGCGTCGGCAGCTTGTTGTGATGATAGTAGTGGTTGTTTGAGGGTCTTGGAATCTCAATGTAATTTGTATTATTTGTATTATGTTCGAGATGCTTTGTACTTCTGTTGAACTTTTTGTTAATAGAGATCTGGATCATTTTCTTAAAAAAATTAATCGGAAAGATAATATTCCCGTATCGGAACCCAGTTGGACCAAATGGGCCCAATGCCAAGTCCCCACGTGTCGCTCCGCAAGAGCTGGGGATCTCTCCTCGCTAAATCCCCTCCCCTCCCCTCCCCGTTCCCAGTCCACCCCGATCTCCCCTCCGCCGCCACACCCAATCCCAGGCGCCCCCGCCCAATCCCCATCCAGCAGCGCACGGCGGGGGGAGGTCGCGGCGGCGCGGCTCGATCAGGCGGCCTGGCTCCCGCTCCGGTCACCCCTCCCCCAGCCAGCTCGGGTTTTCCGGTCAGGTAACGGCAGAGGCCCGCGGAATCGCTGCTTTCCTCGGGCTCCGGGGCGGGTGATCCGAGGCGCGGAGGGATTGGTCGTCGGGAGGGCTCGATTTGGGGCCGGGTTCGGGATGGGAATTCCGTTTCCGGGGGACGGCGGGGGGATTGGTGATCGGTGCTTGTGGTGTAGGGTTCTGTTCCGTGGTTTGATCTGTAAATTGCGAGAGCTGTTCCGCGTGATTACCTCCAAATAAGGGTAGCTTTGTAGTTTTACTTCCTCTCGCGTGCATCACGGATCCACAGAATTTTTTGTTTTGTTTTTGGGAAGACGTAGAAATCGAGAGTCGAGAGAGGTTGCGTGGTTAAATCTGATCGTAGTTAGGTCATCGGTTTTTTGCCGTGTTCGATTTGGGGGAGAAAGTAGCTCTGATCTACTGGTACTGATTACCTGGCTCGTTACCAAATCGTAGAATTTTTTTCTTCCGATGCTTCAGCTATGGATGCGTCGTGTGCAGTTTCAAACGTGTTATAAACACACGTTTATTGAGTATTGACTTATGTGAAATCACCTCGATGCTGTCGTGTTGCTGGTGGTATGCTTGCTGCAATAAGGTAGTTGCTTTGCTCTCTGGGAGTGTGTTCCTGGGAGTTTTAGTTGGACATGTAGATGACTGTTTTTGATCGCGAGCCTGAGTGTGGTATGTAAACTGTTATGAACCTGTGTTGTGTTATTGCTTTCTGCAATGAAAATCGGGAGCCAAGAGCTCCTCAATTCGGGGGGGAAAAGCACACACCTATTGATGTATTTTTCACAAGCGCTCTGTCTCATTCATGTCTTGGTTAGCTTCTACTGTTATACATTTCCATGGCCATCCATTTAAAGTTTGCAGTCTTTTTTGCATAACTCAGCACCGTGTTTCTGAGAGATGACTCGGGCTAAGAGCGAGAGCGACCGGGTGATGCCTGGTCCGGACCAGGTTGACTTGGCATCCCACGATGATGATAGCGCGAGGGAGTCACCACGTAGGAGAGCTGGACCACAACTGAAGAAAGGCCCTTGGACACCGGCCGAGGATGCCATCTTGGAGGCGTATGTTAAGAAGCATGGTGTGCAGAACTGGAATGTGGTGCAGAAGGACACCGGGCTGTTAAGGTGCGGCAAGAGCTGCCGTCTCCGCTGGGCAAACCACCTGAGGCCCGACCTAAAGAAGGGCACTTTCACCAAAGAGGAGGAGAACCTAATCATTAAGCTCCATTCCAAAATGGGGAATAAGTGGGCTCGAATGGCTGCCCGTGTAAGTTCACTTTCAAGCTCATGTTTTTCAGGTTCAGCATTCATCAAATTTTGTTCTCATGCTTCTCTCATGAGAGTTGATATTTAATTTA